CATTACATTATGGACTGTTAAGTTTGTATGTCAATGTATGTGTCCTTAATCAATTCTGTTGGTAACTCTTTCTTCGTAAGCTTCGGATTATAACATATGTAAATTAGGTTCTCCTTGACCCTCACAGTTTTCTAAAGGTGCACCATGAGCAGGGGAAAGTGGAAAGATTTTTCTTTTCCAATTTTATATGTAGGTTTCTCTTATCTTCATTTGCGAACAAATATTATGAATGTAAAACGAAATTAATTTTATATTTCACTCAAGGAACAGATATATATAAGAGCAGTTTGAAATATTAATATATTTGATAGGCAATTAAACTTACCATAATCTTTAATTTTTGACAGATGACGATAAGGAAGTGATTCCTGTTTGGACTTCCTCCCGGCAGCGTTACTTTTTGTGTCGCCTGCAGAGCTGACGGACACTTAGGGATTACTTTGTCCGTCGTCATGCGTCGTCGTCGTCGTCGTCGTCGTCCGTACGAAAGCTTTCCGGACTTTTTTCTGTAATGCTTTGAGTTATCAAAATGAAATTTGGCTTATGGCTTTTTTGTTGCAAGGGTACAGATTAAGTTCGATTCCCGACTGTCTGTGACCTTTTTTGGCAGAGTTATGCCCCTTTAAACTTAGAAAATTTCTCAGGAATATTGCTTTGCGCAGTTTTCCCTTTATGCTTCAAGTTATAGAAATGAAATTTGGTATTACAACTTTATGGTTGATCGATGCGCATCCAGTTCAATTTCTGGGTGGACCGTGACACTTTATGCAGGCGACACATACAGTTCCGGGGAACTTTTTTCTTGCAGCCACAATATATTACCTCATAAATTGCCCGTCATTTTGATACCGCGACAACTGGTCGAAAATAGTCAATCTCTACCAGTTATTGTTTTGTTGGATATTCGCACCATGCATAGCTACTGCTTCCAGCTTATCAGCATTGCAGTAGGGCAACTAATTGGTCTGTGAGGTGAGTCGTCATCTACAGAACAGTATATTCATGGTATGATCTGGTGTAGTCGGATTGGTCCCGAATTTTGGTCTTGACTGGTGCGTTATGATCTAGTCCCGTTGATCTGGTCATTTTTCTTCTTCTTTTTTTATGGATATAATATTGAGCAAAGAATATCAGTATATTTAGTTTCATGCTGGTAAGGAGCTGCGCTAGTCGGGCAATGTAACAATGAAAGTACTCCATCCAGCTGTGCAGTCATTGTCCACATTACTAGTATCAATTAATGAAAAAAATGATATGGTATGTTTACTCTAATGTGGACATGCCGGCAGCAGGGATAAGTAAACATTTTAATGAAGCATGCATCATCTTATTTCTCAAACATTTTGCTTGTAGGTCCTGATAACATTAAGTATAAATTGAATGAAGCTCATTTAGAATACCAGAATAAGAGTCCAAGTGACATAAATATCTTGCAATTGAAGTTAATGGATGTTGAAAAGAATTCTTGCCAACAACACTGACAGTTATATAAAACAAATTCTAGCGTACAGCTGAAAATATCTATTCATCTACCTCTTTTCTATTATTCACTTAATCCTGGTTCAGATGCTTAGCAATTTTATTGGGTATATATTGCTTGAATGTTAAATATAAATGTATATGTATGAATGTGTGTTGGAAGAGTGAGTGTGCACACAAGAAACGTGTGATTTTGTGTTTGTAATCACATGTACCATTTCGCCCATTTGATGTAATTTTGTTATAAATATCAATTAGATTCAAACAGCCATTTAAGTTTACATTAACCAGATACAGATAAACCAGCTTTTTGATAGAATCATGGCTAAGGTAAGCAATATGATTTCATGTTTTATATCTTTTGTTCGCAGGTGTATCAGTTTGTAAGCTAATAATTGAAACAATATATAATAAATGTTTATATTTTCATAATAATAGTTTAAAAATCAGTTATATTTAACTTCTTTACTGAACACACAATTGAAAACGAGAGTCTAATTGATCAATGTTATTCAGATGTCAAATTGCCACATGACCTTATGATTACGCGCAAAATCTTATATCTACCAAAACACTATTTCTTTTTCTGTTCGGATATAAACTCATATATCACCTGCAGTCTTGACATAAATGGTCCATCGATGCTTTCACTGTTGCATTCTTACCTATCGAATTAGAAAATTAGAGACATTGCCTTTCTTTTAAGATCGTTTTGCATTTTACCAGTACCGATTTATTAAGTTTCGCTAAAGTTCAAACACATGGATTTGTTGCATCAGCCGCACTCGTATGTTGGTGTGTGTTAGCATTAACTGCTTGCTTTGCTGCAAAATTCCTGTGATGTACCAGTGTGTAAAGATATCACAGGTGTAATACACGTTATGTAGACGATGACCGCAATGACTCACAACTGAGTTGAGTAAATTCAATGTTCAATATTATATCAAGTAACATGTTTTATCTTATAATTTTATAACAATGATTTTGATTGATTGATATCCACTTCGCAATACTATATCCATTGGATGAAAATGGAAGAAAAATTACAACAATCAATGATACCAAGTAAAGTGAGCGTACTTAAGATATTTATGAATTAATAATAAAAATAATGAAATTATACCAGACAACAAAATTGGGACCAGACCGATCAGAGCAAACTAGACTAGCCCAATATTTGGGACCACAAAAAGTGGGACCAGACCATACAAAAAATTTGGAATCCAAGAATAATGAGATTAATATAATTTATTATACTATACTGTGTCATGTGTGGTTAACATTATATTAAGAAAATAACACAATATTACAATGCATTATATATTTTATATACTATACTACATACTACGATAACATTCTTATCAAATAATATACCACATCTCATCATAACAATGTCAAAATCATGAAAGTGAAAGTGCTAAAATACAAAGCTGCCAATTACACTTTTTAGAAATTCTTAATATGGCGATTATCAATAAGTGCTTAAAAAGTGATAATGCGTCAACATGTCCAAATAATTTCGTTTGTACTGTTATGTCATATCATCCTTATGTTAGCTAATACCACATGCTATGTAAGTTACATCATATCAAGAAGGATATATATTACTAAATATTATTCAGTTCACAAAGTTTTTTCAGTCATTTTAAACATTGTTGGAGTACATTTGGCCCTATGTTATTATATCTCTTTAGATGTTTTTTCTTTACTGGAAAAGCGCTAGATACAACTACCTAGGGGTTTTCTCATGAAACTTGTACACATACACATGCTAGACATATAAAATACAATTATACTCTTTGTTATTCGATTCGATTCAATTAGTAATTACTTGAATACTCATGATCAGAAAGTACTTCATAACTTCCTGATTACGGATGAAGGATCTTTCTACTTGAAGATCGGCAATAGCTAATCTTATTTCGTGGCAAATATAAAATTTAACTGGTTGGATAAAATTACCTCGTAAGGGAATTCAAATTTAAATCGTGTTGCTTTAAACATTTTTTGACGGAAACAAGTTTCAGTTGTGTATAAATAGATGTACTCAATTTGATGTGTTTAAAAAATATATATATGCTTACGATTCATTTTAAGTTACATTTAATGAAAGGATCCCATCAGGGACATATGTGTATTCAGAATTGAAATTTATTTAGCAATCGACAATATATTGCAATAACTGTTTAAATAGATGTATTTTTACAAGTCTTTGTGACTAAGTTATGCATTGAACATGCTATCTTAACATATGAATTATCTCTGTTCTGTGATTAACTTAGTTCCCAGATGAACCCACATTTGAAAACTAACAAGATATTACCGACCAATTAAAGACGTCGCTCTGCTGGAGGTAAGGGGTAGAAAATAGGATAATTTCATTCATTGACTGTAGGACAGAGAAAAGTCTCGTGTTAAACAGTCGAGAATTTTTCCTCCAGTAGAGATTTCTCTGTCTCACCCTCAAACTAGGAAAAAATCTTATTGGTCTCATATGTAAGAAAGAGTATGGTCTTTTTTAACGAATTTATATTAATCGTAAAGGCATCATCGGTTATATAACAAAGCTCCTTTCAGTATTTAAATTTCGAGATTCATCGAAAATGTTTAAAACTCATTCAGCGGATTGTCTTAACCCCGCCATGCCGAAGCAGATGTTTAAAATATTCAGTTTATAGATAAACTTTTATAACTTAAGAATGCCGAGGTCCCTTTCTTAATAAGGTCTTCGAATTAATGAGAAATAATAACTTGTATACATCAATGCCTTTTATAGATTTCTCCGATTAGATTACAAATCTAAATATCCTGAAACAAAAATGAATGTTGACTTCCTCTTTTGTTTGCTTAGTGTCAGCTTAGATCATATAAGAGGACAGAATAATCCCTTGATTGCAAATAAGTGATACTTAATCCTGCTTTTCTTAATCCTTAATTCATGTTTCGTTAGATAGAATAAAAAATACAATATACAAATAAAAGTACAAAAATAATTCGTGTACGATATAATCTTTGCTCTTGACATCGTGAAGTAAAACGTTTAGTTGACACTAAATATTTATAAGAATCTCCAATTCCGTCTTACAAGAAAAAAAGATATCGTATGGGTCTTCATTGTAAATCAAATATAACTATCTACAAATGCGACAAAATTATTAAGAAAACACTTCCCAATTTCTGCTTTGGCTAATGAATTGATATTACCTGCAAAGCGTGTTTTTAACTGCGATATTATAGTATATTACCAAAGAGGCACATTTCGCAGGTGCGCAGATCTGCGGCTACCTCATTTCATGAAAATTTGTGATAGACAAATTGAAAAATAATCATTCACGAACTTAAATGAATCTAAATTAATCAACCTTCGTAAAAAATTGCGCTATACAAACATCAGGAAAATTTCAAAATATCTATACAATCTAAGCTATCCAGTTATAAACTACCTAAATCATTCATTCTATCAACTCTGTGTAAATAATTATGTCAACTCCATGCACATATTCGATCAGATGGAAAAAAGTCTAAAGCCGAATGATTTCCGAAACTATTTCTTCGACTTCCTCCTCTCCACCAATACTGTTGCCAGTACATTCATTTGTTCGCAAGAATGTATAAACATTCCTCCGAAATGTGACTAAGCGCTTTTCCAAACTGTTTGCTTTGGTTTCTGCCTCCCGAAGTCTGTCGCAAGTCAGTTTCCATTTTCCATCTGCTTCTCTTTCTTTTCTGTTAACCTCTTCAATTCTTTTCTCAGTTTCTTTCAATTTCTTTTCTGCCTCTTTTACCTTTGTATCTGCAAAATCAACCACCTTTTTCTCAGCTAACAATGCATTCTGAGTTGCCTCGTTGAATTTTCTTTCAGCGTCAACTGCTCTCTTTTCTTCACGCGCTATTTTCGTACGCAATTCCTCATCCATTTGCATACACTCTCTATTACACATTCGGATAACTTCTTTTGTTTGCGTTTTGGCATCTTCCATCTTTCTCTCAGAAAGACTCCTCTTTCTGTTAGCCTCTTCCATATTCATATTTGACATGACTTCTTTTAGAGACCTTTCGGCATCTGATGCTCTCCTCTTTTCACTCTCTATATTCTTACGCAGTTCCTCCTCTGTCTGCATACATTCTCTACTACATATTCGGGCCATTTCCTTGGTTTGAGTTTCAACATCACAAAAATGATTTAGTGTTGAAGATTGTTCCTTCTGTTGTTCCTCCTCTTGTTCGTCCTGTGATGTAGCCTGATTCGTGATGTTTGATCTCAAACACTTGCTTTTGGAAGACAATCGCTGTCGTTTAGGTAAGGCATTGTCATCGTCGATTTCGTTATTGCTTCCTTCATTGTGGTGAGTGCTAACAAACGAAAGTTACATCAAATTCAAATATCAAATACTAACAAAGAAGTTAGTTCAGTTACATTAGAGAGTATAATTTCTTTGGTGCAACAACTCATACATGCAAAAACTCAATTCTGCGATTACGGATCTATTTCTTTACATAAGCAGATGAGGGTATCGCTGATTCAGATCAAATATAAATACTGCGTGAAAGAAAAGATGATTACTTATGTAAATATAACGGATCAAAATTAGCTAATATACAAGATTCTAAAAAGCAAGTGGAGTTTTCTTATGTTGTGTATGAATGTACACTTCATCAATATAAGCAGAGAAACGATAAACTAAGTTGAAATGTCGTTTAAATACGTGAATACATAGGAATTGATGAGATAGCATATATATATGATCGCATTTATATTGTCTGCAATCTATTTTTTTTCTGAAAATTTCATTATTGCCTTTATATGATACTTAAAAATTAATATAAAAATTATTTTCGTGTAAGAGAATCGAAACTACGTCCATCATCTCCGTGAAAAGTTGTCATACCTAAAATGTGCCTAAAATTCAAACATTTTTCATGTATTAAAATACATATTTTGCGATATTTTGATATATGCTTTATATCATAATTTTGAGCAGTTTCTACATATTCTAAGAAAATATCATTTAATAGTGTTAACTTTTGTTTTTACGAAATAGTAATGCTGTGGTACACCCATGGTTCTTGACACTAATAATGTCATATCACAGGCCCTTGGGACCTAGCATTTTTTAAACGTATTTCATGGGTTGTTCCTAAAAAACGTTCATTCCTAGTTTTCATACATTTGAAAATAATAAATTAATGTCAAGTACATGTGTATATTCTGAACAGTTTCAATATTTGAATGAGTTAAAACGTTGCGTACAGGTTATAGATATTTGGGGTTTAAAAGTCCACTAGTAGTATCTACCAACTGCAATCTCGAAGGTTAAGCCAAAGACACACAGTTAAGAAAAAGAAAATGTTGAGCCAAGTAATGAATTCAACTGTACATCATTTACTAATGCAGAGGGCTTAAATTTTGAAACCTTGGAGACAAAAAATGTTCCTTATTTTATTGATTGTATTTTTCGGCACGTGCACTTCTCGATCTCTTCTTTTAAAATTATTGTGATCGATTCTGATTTTCCTCACCCGCTTTATAGACTCCAGCAATTTCGCCCTTATCGTTACATATACATTTTTAGAGGATAAAACAAATATATGATGTAGTGTATTCATAACCATACCATAAAATGTATTTAATTCCTAATTTGTTTTGAAGGTGCTATGTACTTTTGTGTCTCTTGTACAATTTTCAACAAACGTGCGTGTTACTTAGAAGAGTAACATACCTTGCAGCAGGAAGCAAAATAGATGACCAGTCCAGAAAATACTACGAATAAAAATTCGCATTTTAGTAATGATGCTACCTTCATGGAGACATACTATTAGCATTGATAAACATATTGACGAACCTAAAATTAGAGTTCAATTTTAGCACTGCTATAAACTTCACATCAATGTAACATCCAGCTTAGACTATTTCAAAACTTAAGTCATTGCTAACGTTCAGTCCAACTTTGTTGTGGTATTCACAAGATGAGTTAAAATAAAGTTAAGGTCAGAGTGTTATTCTCTTGCTTATCTTTCCTACAGTATCTGATGAAACGAACAAATACATAGTGCTATTAGACCTTTAAATCTGAATACTTTTGAGATAACATATTAAGATAATTATATTTCTTACCTCTAAATTCATAGACGTCATGTTCTCATTAGCATTCCGTTTTCTATTGACTTTCTTCCCAGGTTTCCCGTTACTTGTTCCTGGTGTCTGTAAACCATGCAATAAATAAAGCAATGCGGAAGAGAAAAGAACACATGCATTTTAAACGGCGGGATTTTTGTTCTAATTTCTTTCCTGATTAAAGGTTACGCTATACGTACAATGGTCGATATTCATTGGGAAACACATTTTTGTTATTCTCTGTCACTAAAGTTAGTACTAAATTGAATATCATCAAACGTTTGTAAGGTTAAGGTAAGGGTGTTATTCTCTTGCTTATCTTTCTAGCAATATCTGATGTAACGAACAGATATGATAATCTCATTCGAAATAACTGTTCTGATTCGAATAAATACATAGTGCATATAGACCCTTAAATCTGAATACTTTTGAGATAAAAAATTAAGATAATTATATTTCTTACCTCTAAATTCATAGACGTCATGTTCTCATTAGCATTCCGTTTTCTATTGACTTTCTTCCCAGGTTTCCTGTTACTTGTTCCTGGTGTCTGTAAACCATGCAATAAATAAAGCAATGCGGAAGAGAAAAGATGCATTTTAAATGGCGGATTTTTGTTCTAATTTCTCTTTCCTGATTAAAGGTGACATAAAATGGTCGATATTTGTTTGGAAACATTTTCGCTTTATTCTCGGTCACTACAGTTCGTGGTAAATTGAATTTCACCAAATCCTTGTACCATGATTTGATATATGATTGAAAGTCAAACATATATAATCGCCCAGAACCACGGAAAATTTCCTGCGAACAATTTTTGATGGGTATGGCCTTTTTTCATATCACAGTTAAATGAATGAATAGTTTAATGCGTATATTCGGGTAGTATGTCAATGGGAAAACACTAAGTTTCTTTTCTTTCTTTTTCCTCTAGCTTTTGTTTCTTCGCTTATCTCTCATATAAAGTGCTTGATAGAACAAGTTATGATATATTATCTTGTCATTTATTTAATTAGATAAATGCTTGTTTCAATCAAATTAATTCTTTTAAATTTTAGTATTTAACTAAGCTTTGAAATCATTGTTCAACAAATGTAAATGTCTAATGAATCGCTGACCGAGTTATATTCAGAAAGAGTATAGTTGTGGCACATGTCTACTTTATGATAATGACATAGATAACTGATTATTAAGTTGATTTTAATTTGCTTTCAAAAAAAATTGTTGAAGAACCCTCAACCTGCAAATGTAGGACGCATTTGACCATTTATATGTACTAATGATGATGTATGTTGACGATTTTTGTTTTCTAAGAAAAAAAATCATCCGAACAAATGGAATCTTCTGCATTCAAATTTCAATTGTGAATTTGCAACTGAGCACAACCTTCGAAAGAACCAAAATAGTCTCGCCTCTACGTAGTAAAATAGACATCTGCATTTGAGCAAGAAAGTGACCGGAAAGATATGTGAGACACTAAATGGAAACCTACGACCAGTCTTTCATCCAATACTGAATTGTTCCGTGTATCAGGCATATGTGGATTGAACACTGGAGTTATGTCGGGATTTTCAGGTAATGATGGCCTACGCTTTGTTTCTGGTGCCTGTAATATTCATTATTTGTATACTATAAGAACCAAGCCAAAATTCGATAAACGATAAATAAATAGAAAGAGAGTGGAAAGTTAATCATTGTCATCAAAGGAAAGATAACGTGATCTAAATTATCCATGCAGTATCATTAAAGAAAAAGAAAATGATATTTGAGAAGAGCAAAGTCAAACTGTCGTTCAGTAAATTGGGTATGAAGTTTCCGATGAACATTGGTGGTGAATAAATGTTAAAATGTAGTTAAATATACAAATAGCTTTAGGGAAGATGTGTTTAAAGCTAATTGCATAATTCAAAAGAAGATATAAATACGGAATATGCACGTAGATTAGTTAAGGTCTGACCAAGAACAAAGATAACTTTTTCTATATGTTAAAGAGCCTTCAAGAAATATCAACTTCATGCAAACTGTCTTCAAGTTCATAGATAAATATCTTCAATTCGCAAATGTCTGCCAGACCCTTTCTACAATGTACTAAACTCCAAAAGACTAGCGCACCATACATATTCTTACCTCAAATTCTAAACTAAAACTAATTAAAGTAGGTACAATCGCTAGTCCACTGTGTTCAATTTGCTACTCAGAAACAGAAACTGTGAATAACTTAATGTAGGATGTCAGGAAACAGGAAACCTAACCTATTATCAAATAAAATAGCCCTCCACATTCAACATCTGCAATTCTTTTCTTCTCGTTTCCTACATGAAACAGACACTCTATTTTATATCTTGATGTCTCTCCAGTAGCGAGTGACGATTCGTCATCTGAAAGGACTGGGGTGAAGAACGGTGCCGATGACGATCAGACCTCTACTGTTGAGGATCACCAATCTTTACCTATGACAGACTTCAACTTTTCAGGAGGGGAAGAAACGGCATCGGACAATGCCGTAACAAGAGGTCCTGTCAGGATTCGGCCAACACCTGTTCCTAGGACTAAAAGAACGTGTCATCAACCAAAATGGCAGACCTCAGGAGATTATGTCATGCGCCAGTCTCCAGTGCCTTCAGAGTATATGGCATGTGCCATATATTTACAGAATTTAATTGCAGAAGGAAATCTAGAGAAAATACTTGACAGAGTTCTGGATTCTTTACTGTCAATTGTCAGTGGTAATACATGATTGTTTTACTGTTTTATTTTGCAGTTGTTTTATTCATAAATATATTTGCTGGGTTTTTTTTTATTTCATTACAGGTGACCTTTAACCCCAGTACGATGACACGGAGGTCATTCATCTGGGAGGGAGAGTGTGTCACAGGACTGTATTTAATTGATATTTTTATAGATTAAGTTGTGTTTCGTATGTTTGCATTTGTTAATCAATTAATACAATCAAATGCAAATATTAGATGCATTAGGCCAATTATTTGGATATATTTCGGACATGGTCCCGACAACTTAGATTATAAAGTGCTTTATTTGTATCTCCGGCTATTTTATAGTTGCTGTATCAAGTATCTATTTGTGATTACAGCCAGAATCATATTGTAACTGCACGGTGTTGTAACTGCACGGTGTCTGTCATTGTTCTTGGAGCCCCTGCACTATTATGTAGGACGAGTGTGTATTCAGGTTATTTGACCTAGTGTTTGATGTATTTTGCTGTTATGTGCATTTAATAACAGTAAGGAAGCGTAATTTCCTATCTTGTAAATATTCTGTAGAAAGTATTGTCACCGTAATGCTCCATAACGTCGGAATTAAATTATGAAGTATTTCATTGTTATATTAGTAAATAACTAGTTAAATTATCTCTAGTTGTCTCAATTGTATAATCTAAAATTATATTTATGACTAGAATAGTTTGATAGGGTTAATCTGACGGATTTGTCATTTTTATTGCTTTTAATGCTAAATTATTATCACGTTAAAATTGTCTCCCTTGAATGTCCAGGCGATCGTTAGATGTGTACGGTTGATGTGGTAAGTGAATGTTGTATTCATTTGTTGTAGGGTTCTTTTAACAATAATAAGCACTGAATGAACCAACAATCAGCGCGGTAACCCCCGGTAACATTATGATAAAGGTTAATGCCTATTATTTTTCTGATATTTTCCTTTACATTTACATTCATGTAAATGAAACATGTCTGTGCGTAGTTGGATATATGGATCTGTCTGTTCTGTGTAAACATGTAACTGTATGTGTTCCTGTCATTACTAAATGTAGATGTGAATTCAAAATTAAGAATAAAAAACACCACTTTTGGCCACTACTCTCGGGTACCTCTGAGCCGTTTGAATCTAAATAACGGTTCACCTTTGGCCAAAGGAGGTTTTTGCTTATTTTTTTCAAACTGGTCCAGGGAACGTTGAGCAGAGTTCAAAGCTGTCAATTATTTACTTATTATTGACGATGGAATCACAATTTATCACTTGACATCGTTTCAGGTGATCTAAAAGGCCTTATCCATTTGATCCGGTACCTTTTTTGACTCAGTGGTGTTTTCTGTACTCTCTTCGTCAACTTGACTTCTGTCCATGTCGTTTACCAAGGATCCCCGGATTTGTGTCCTTAAAGTCTGTAAAAATGTCATTGGTATAATCATGACAATTTCATTAGAATTCTTTCCCTTCTTCGTTTGCTTGCATACTTTAAAGGCGCTCAAACAGTCTAGAAATCATGTTGATCTTGACATATTCTTTTAAAAAGTTTTAAACGATATTTTTGATATTATTTTATGAAAACCGTCTACAACATGCAGATATCTTTTTGGGTCTGATAAGAAAAAAACGTACTTGATCATCTGAATCGAGTCTGTTTTCCGATCTCGATTGAAATCCTGAGCTCTAAAAGAGAAATGAAAGAGATATTAAGACGATGATTTTAGAGAGAAATTCCTCATGACATCAGGATGTACTTACGTGATCATTTGTTTTTTCCATATATATTTTTCTGAGTTCATAATCCATAACTTTGCTTAAAACTACTTACTCCTTGTTTTGATAGTTGCTTGTTCTTCCTGAAATATCAAAACTCTCTATTAGCCATGAAAACTTCGAAATGATACTGACAAATGTACACAGAGTGTATTGTTTATACAAAAAAGAATGAAGATTATTAATGTTGACTACTGAACTATTGTTTTACCTTAAAGCGACTATAATGTTAAAAAAAACTCTACGATAAAACGATATAAAACGTTCTATTTTCCAATAGTATTTTATACAACTAAAACAGTGCGGTCTTGATCTAATTCATACATTACGTAACCATGATGCTGCGCATACGTATAAGTCTAGAAAGAAGCAATATGGCGGACGCAAATACGGAAATGCGACGAGGACCTAAAAGTTACCTTGCAGAAAGTGTAAGAGGAAGGAGTCAGACCAGAAAAGAATTTATATTAACAGGATATCGATAAATGGCGAAAAATGAAGGGGGATCTTGGACTGAATACGGATTCTTAACAGCAGCCCTATAATTATAACGTATCCACTTGTCATTGATTACATTCCAATATCCAGTGTTTGACGCGTGAATATGTTATGAGCAACACTACTAAAAGTGTTATCTGATAAATTTTGAATGAAAATAGTTGTGTTATTCGCTTGAATTTACTATCGACAACGTGCGTTTGTTGTTGACTGCAAAGTGGGACCCAATTGGGGTATTCGTAAAATATGACGGTACTGGTGTTACTGTGATAATAACGACCGTGGTGATAAACATAACCTTCATAATAAACACATAGACACGTGTTAAATGGTAAACAATACTTATTAATGTTTACAGAGAAAGTATCAATTCCTGTGCATTTCTGCAAAATGAGTTTTTTCTTTTCCGATTGTAACTGCCCTCTTTTGGGCCCAACTATTTTTGCGCCCTCGATTGACATAGATAATTCTCGCACGACAAGCCAAACGAAACGAATTACTAAGATTGGTTTTTAAAATTATACAGTATAACATTATAGAATCCTTTACTGCAAACAAGAATTAGCAAAATCAAGTGTCATACATAAGACATGTGTGTTTGTTTACCTCGTAATCCATTTTCCTTTGCGGCGGATGTAAATTATTTCGTCACGTGACAAGCCATGTGACCCACTCGGTTTTCTTTGTAATCAACCGAGCGTGAACATGTTTATAAACAGGAGTCAAGATAAACAATGTTCCGACGCCGAAAATGTGTTTGACATTATAGGCGCATGTATCGCTTTATTATGGATATGTTTTACGATTCATAAGCCGAATTCTTCATTTCCCGATGTTGAAATCTAAGGTAATAGCCGCTTCAAACTATTTGCCAAATCACTGTTGGTTCAAATTTTTTAAGAACTGCAAGTATGATTCACATAATCGATCTCTCCTTGCAACGTTTACTAATAAATTCATTCTCATCATGTAAATACAATGTATTTAAGATACCAGCACGTTCATAATCTACAATGTTTAAAAAGTGAAATTTACAATTACATACCAGATATCATTTTACATCATATATGTAGGAAATACAACGTATACTGATAAACTCAACCCTCACTTTGTTTTACCACTACATTTTTATTTAAGTTCAAGGCATACGGTCAGCTTTTACACACGCTGTATACTCCCACCTATTAAAAACTGATATATTTTTACGCATATTTTATAAATAACTATCGTGAATTAACTTCATACCAAACCTTTTGGTTAGATATGCCGTCAGCGTAGATCTGCTGTTCATACGTGATATATGTAAATTTCAACAACGTGACCTTTACATGTACCATTTGAATAAATGTAGTATAGCATATATGGACATTCATTGTTTTACAAGTTATATTGTTGAACAAGATAGTAAAGTAATTATTGAGTGTCTATTGTTTAATCAGATTTTCGAAAAAGCCTAAATATACTGAATGTATATTTCTCTGTGTTATTACTCATAGCGTTTCTTTTCTTAAAGTTGTTTAACAATCAATATATCTTTTCCAGTTTTCTAACAAAATATCTGTTTTGTATCTATTTATACACTGACGTTTTATCAAATAATAATAAAAAAAAACCTGTTTGGATAATAAGGGATTTGTGCGGTTTTCCTATGTCGAAAAGCATGGGGTGAAAAAAAGTGCCAACATATCAACAGAAAATTAATCCAAATCTCTTATTCAATATAAAAGTACAAGGAGAATAAGAAAAGTTGTTCGAGAAGAGAAAGCATCTCTTGCTTCATCGAACACTCGCCATGTAATCCTTGGTCAATCAGAGTAAGAAATGTCACGTTCTCAAATGAGATCAAGGTATCCAACAACGGAATCCATAGACAAGCCAACGAGAACCAAATGCATCCAGCTTCTAGTCACATTAAGAAGTAGAATATTTCCCAATGAGATTGTCATAACGACTGTAATATTATGTAGAAAAGACTATTGTGTGCTTGATTCTAAATCAGGTGGGTATGCATGTATATGATAAACATAGTCAATCTATTTCTTCTTTGGAATCAATATATCTGAAAAATGTTTCAGAAGAATATGCTCCAGATTTGTAAAAGATAATTTACAAATTCGCATTCTAGTTTCTTAGAAAAATGACAAAGGGTATTTACTTTTCTTCTCCTGTGAGATCCTCTTTTTCCGGTTCCTCCTCTATGTCACAACGACTGGGATGAAATGAAAAAAAAACAAAACACATTAACATAACTATAACGCACATGGCCTAAACGACCGCGGTGAGATTCTGGATATGTTGTGAAAAGATATCTAGCACCTGCTCGACCACATTGAGTTTCCTTCCATATCGAGACCCATCTCCCCTGTACATGTCAAGTGATCAACAATACTTAGCATTATAATAAAGTTTAAATAACAGTTTGGAAATCTCACTACCTACATAAATGCAGATATATGATAAATGTCATGGTTTCATCTTAAATCCATTGTGTCATCTTTCATTTTTCTAAATTGTGAAAGAAAAATATGCTCACTTGTGTGCGGGGTCGTCGTTTAAGCGACAAAACCATTTTTCGGGGATGTCATCTGTTTCTCCTCCATCGATAATACGCCGCCATTTATCGCAGTTATCACACTGGATATAGAAGTACGGTGCGTTTAGCTCCTCAGACCTACAGGACAATGAAGACCAAATCAGTACTATATATTTAAAATGTTTAAAATCAGTTGTTGCAGGTCTTTATAACTGTTTGAAATGCATGTGCTTTTGTGGAAAGGGATTATACCACTCTATGTCTTCTTCTTGAAGAGTCCGATTCTTAGAAATGTCAATCACTGATGAAATGACATCTCTGATGTTACACAAAGAGAAATGTGAAATATTAAAAACATAATTCATTTCCTGCGTTTCACACGTATGTAAGGTTACATAAATAGAACTATATCTGTGTTTGGAGATGCCATTTTCTTTTTTGTTTGTTCCACCTCCTCGTTTGACATATGATTTTTATGGATTTTATGTGTTTCTTGGTTTCATGTATTTAGTTCTACATTTGTAGAAGTCCTTGGTACGTCTTACGTCTTTCGAAAGGTTTAAGAGGAAAACGGCTTACATGTCGTCAGCAGTTTCCTTTTTATATTTCCAATAGTCTCTCAGCTTTTTTGAAATAGCCTGCAGAAATGAACTGAAAAATGTAATATGTGAACAATATTACAACAAGTTACATATCAATCAAAGAGCAAAAGATACAATATAAATAGATATCCTGCATTATTTGTAAAGACTAAATTATTGATAAATTTTACCTGTCATATGAATTCATAAAAAAATATGTTTGACTAAGGAAGAAATCAATTACATAAAGCGTAACAGTCGCAACGCTTAATGTAATAATTATTTCATTAAGAGTTGTTATTACAACATGAATTGCAACTCACCCATTCAAACGCTCTCTCTACAGGGATACAACACAATTCTGGTAATCAACCATGTCTTATTTTACACTCTGTCTAAGAACCAATGCAGTATAAAACAATGCAATATAGTCGAAATCCTTTAAACGTTATGTCAAACATTTTGTTTTACGAAATGAAATTGAATTACTTGTAGCAATAAATTAGCTTCATTTGGCATCTAAAAAAAATTCTTTCATTGCATACTCTTAACAACAGTAACAGTACATCTTATATAATAAAACCACGACTTTGACCAACTATACGTGTTTATTACTGTACTTGTATTTAGCGTCATCCACAAAGCCCTGCTTGGTGTGTTTGGGAGTAAGCTGGTTGGCCTCCACTACAGCAATCACATCGGTACCACAGTCGTTCTGTTGATATTTACAAAATACAATAACAAAGATTATTAACGTCGGTAAACTAAGGCACGCAAATCAAGCAATCAAATACCACTTTGCTTTCCGATATATTTTACAGCTAACCATGAAGGAGAGCTTGCACATGCATAAACTATGGATCTTCCGAGAACACAACAAATACTACTAGTATTAAAATATCTGTAAAAAAAAATCTGTGATACTGAAGTTAACAAATTAAGATATAGTAACACCATGACTATTTTTCTGTAAGTAGAATCATGAGATTGCTTTGGGTATTACACAAGAGCAGTATTGCTTGCTGTGATGTCAGGTTTAGATAATAAATAACGTCACACATTCACATACTGTTTTCATAGAGAGCCGAAATGTTTTTTGAAAGTTGGCGTGAAAGTGTCCGTTTTCTCCAATATTTGCCTGAATAAACAATTATGTGACGAAGAGCGAGTGAAATTCCTTTCCACTTGACATATATTTATCAAGCTCGTCACAATGCTTTTCAACTGATCTCGCAGAAATTAGAAATTCTATAAGTGTCGCAGTCCCAGCCATATTTTGTACCTATTACCAGTATATATCTACTTTATAAGTTTATAACGACTATTTACATCGATTCTATTTTATAATTGCGTCATTTTTTTCTAATTCTTATTGTATTGTTTTTTCTTGAAATAATTTATCCTTATGAAAGATATGGAAACATTGGATCGGAGTGCATAAAGCGAACAAAAGTAGGGTCAAAAGAGGGGGATTGATGCATTTAAGTGAGCGTAGTGGTTGAGTTATTGTTTGAACTTGTTTTAGTTGAAATGGGTACACCAGCGGAAAATACAGTTTGCGGTAAGTTCATACAGGAGAATACAATACACATTTTGCTAATACGTGAAAAGTTTTTTTTATGTAAATAGATTGGTGTATTTAGTAGTTATCAATTGTCAGAATGAACAACGTGGTTATTAAACGTCTACAATAAACATTTTCGATAAGTTGCAAAAGCAATAGTGTTCGTTTATGATATGAAAGTAAATAAGAAACCTTATATAATTAAGCTATATGTATATATATTTGTGTTATAATAGGAAACAATGCTTAGATATAATCATATTTGCGTCGCTCCAATCCTTAACACATGATGGTTTGGGACAGTTGTGACGCGTGCCATAGATGTACCATAGATACACTAAAAAAGACAAATCTTTATGTAGCCCTGAGTGGGCAAGACAGCTATTCATAAAGACCTGTGTGAGCGAGGCAGCTATGTATATATATATATATATATATGTGTGTGTGTGTGTGTGTGTGTGTGTGTGTGTGTGTGTGTGTGTGTGTAAATGTAAATAACGGTATTGTACGCGTGTGATTGTTTATGGAAGTTTATGTGCATTGTATACTTAGGAGTAATAAAGTTTTGCACAAAGTGTATGTTTGGCGTTTGTGTCATTCTTTATATCAGCAATGCTCAGCAATAGTCGAGCTCTTCAAAGTCACAGATTATATAAGATATTAAAAATGACCGATACTGAGTGCATACAAGGGCTGAATGCCCTGCTCTTCGAACAATTTTTTATTCGTGTTAGTTCATCTCCGTATCTCTCTCGTGTCTTTTTCTTGTTTAATTTACGATAATTAGACGATCATTAAACATAAGACACTTTAAATCAAGTACCTACACAACTATTTCAAAATGTGAAACTGACGGAATAAAAATTATCTTCAATTATATAATTTTGTACAGAGAATTCGAAAACCTCTGAAATCACTAAATCATCTTCATCAAGACGAGGAAATTATACTTGAACAAACACGATTTACATTAACTTTCATTTTTGTATCGTAACAAAAAAATTTAAAAATACAAAAGAACAGAACTCTTGTCTGAAAAAGAATATTGACAAAAAGAAGATTTTGTAAGGAAATCCATATTAATGGCATCTTTCGATTTCAACAACCAATGTCATTCTCTTGTTGTCCTGTTAAAAAGAAACATATTCACTGGAAGTCTAATACCTTATATGAGCAGACTGGCATTCCCATACAGATTATTTATTTTACATACTTTCGAATTAGAACGATCGGCATACCAGGTCTACATGATATAAAAAACAATATGTGAACATAATCATAATCAAAACTTCAGGTCAATCATATTAGGTCAAGATATGAACAAGAGAAAGATTCACAAAGAGACTCATGAAAAGGTAGAATAGGAGAAAACGACTAGGTATGCTGATCTTAATAAAGTCATTAGATATTGTAAACTGTTTACCTGTTTTTGACATCCTATCTTCTTGTAAGCTAATATCAGGCGATTTGTGTGATACAATATTAATCCATAATCGTCACCCAGACGTTTTGAAGTAAACCCAAATGTAATTGGGATGGGGCGTTGCTTTGTAGAGATAAGAAAATGTGAAAATAAAGGCATGAAAGGCTCAAATGGATTTTCATACTCGAGTAATAGTTATATATGATAGTATCGTCACCTGAAATATCCTAATCATTATACGTGAGCCAATCCCTGTAGTATAGCATCAATGTCTGAAGTATCTGTAGTACCGTAGTTTTGTCAGCGGAGATGTTTTTCTTGCTTCTAGTCGTCTTATCATTCAATGTCAATTGGTAGAATAATTTTCTTAATATTTATCTTTGCCTTTTTACATCTTGGACGCATCGAAATTCATAAATAGGTCTACTTTTTCTTAAATTCAATATAAGAAATGCTGTTCTTTAGTGTCTTTTATAGAATCATTTGAATGACAAATAATGTCATATAGTAGCTTTACCTGGTAAATAATTTAAGTTATTCCCTCGAGTAACTTTACATTTGACTACCGTAAAGACGTATGTTCATGTAGTAAAATTGGAAGGATACAGCCCAGCTAGGTTTGTACTTGTCCTTCTGTTTTTTGGTAATGCATTTTTCAATGCATAATGGCCTTAATCTTCTTCCTCTAATCCATATCCAGAGTTTTGGCTTAAGGTACAAAATTTTGCAATATTTCTGAAACACAAGCAAAAATGTAATGTTCAATGCATAATGTCCTTAATCTTCTTCCTCTAATCCATATCTTGAGTTTTTGCTTAAGGTACAAAATTTTGTAATATTCCTGAAACACAACATAAATAAAGAGATGAATACAGATCACAAGTATATTTCACAGCCCCTTGAATTATGATAAATAAAATGTCAGCGTTTATACAATAAAATAAAATACATGCAACCGAAATCTGCTTATGCGTTACAAAGGTGGGGTCTACATGTATGGGAATTTAACATTAGCATCGTCCCCTAATTGGAATTTCAAAATTTGATAACCATAAACAGATATGGATATCAGAAGCTTAGATACGGAAAAGTTAGTCTCGGAATTGATTTCTAATAAAATGGGAGGTCCTTGACTAATACCTTGGTGGGTGTTAAAGTAGTTGTTAAGTAATTTCTTCTAGTGCATTACTATGGGGCAATTTCAATAAAATTATGTCATTAATGTGTGCACATTGTACCAACCAACATCTTGATACCACGTATCACAATATTTCAGGAGAAACGTTTCTTTTATGTTGAAAAATGCAGCCAAAAATCACATAAAAAGCCATTACTTTTGAGAAAAGTACTGTTTTGGACGCTTCAATTTGCATACTTACGAAACCAGTCTATTTTTCATATTTGCTTAAAAGTTGGCCATCTTTTGATATCTTTCGAAAGGAGGATTCTTTGAAAAAATGAAAGCCGGTACATTTGTCATTTTACACGTTTGCTAAGAAACCAAGAAACAATTTGCATCAATTTGGTTAACATTGCTGAACTTGACCTCTGTTCAAGGTCACACAAATGAAATTTGTGAAAATAAAGACATTTTTGTGGAAGTTTCACAATTTGAAGATTTAGTCAGCAGCCTTATACAAATCTTTTGATGAAGGTCAATAAAGTGACCTTATTAGATGGGTTATGTACTGTAATAGTCACGGGTTTTGCCTTTGTCAGTTCCGATCCATAATGTGTGACACGTTGAGAAGCTAATAAGAGATAGAACAGTTGCAGTTTGCAGCACATTACAATACGTTTTAGTACAGCAGAACTGCTCAAGTGATTGCTTGTTTGAACTTGAGTGTTGCATGGACTGGTTTAGTTTGCTCTAGATGCTGAACATGGCCCAAGAAATACAAAATGCACTTAACATGTGCACACATTCAAACGGTTTGCTTGCCCGCTGTACAGACACAATAGTAATTTTTAAATGGGTCATCTTGATAATTTCTGTCAAACGCAATCCAAACATTACATTTTGACTGTGATTTGTGCCTTGAATGGATTTGGCCTCAGAGAAGATTTTCATCGTGCTGATAGACCCAAATTCCAAAGTCTCCAGCAGAAGTCAGTTACTCAGCAATATATCTGTGTGCTACTTTCAACTGGTATGATCCGCAGGTTATTGTTTATAAATATTCCATATCCAGTACTGGAAACTCTATTGAACATGCATCATGTTTCACCCAGTTGGCCTTGTTGCGCTTTGAAAGGTCAGGTCCATCTGCAACCTTTGAGGCCAAGATGTTGGCCAGAGCCAAACTGGATTGCAATCGCTCAACAAGGCCACGGTCCCTGGCGGTCATCGTTGGCAGTAATTGTATCATGCTGTGTCTGACCTGACAGAAGTTAGGAAGGCATGTACACAGCCTTGAACCTCACAGCAGCTCCAAAAAATCCCTAAGCCCCCGGTCAACAATCTCATGTCATCTTCACTGAGCCATAAGGTCAGGTTCTCAATGCTCATGAATTTAATATAGTTGTGCTTCTTTTGCCCACAGTATGAGGATCAAAAATTGGTAATGTGTCTTGGACCAAGGAAATGGAGCACAATGGTCTGGCTTTCAAGGTACTATGAATTGTGTGAGACACATACTGTTTTTTGTTAAACCACGCAAGACACCAAGTTGAGACCAAAAAATATTGGTCTTCAGTTTAACCCAGAAAAGAAACAAAGCATGGAATGTGGAGGAACATTATCCTCTATTGATGTGTCAGGAGCAAATGCTATGGGTTTGCTGCATTTGTTCAATTGTGTAGCCAGTCAATGCTTCGAATTCTTCATTTCTGAGATGGCCTACATCTATGCCTGTGCTGGTTGGAGTACCAGCAGAAAGGAAATGGCTTAGTTCCAAAAGGTCATTGATAACCTGATTAGCTCTTTCTTGAAGATGAAGAGCTAACGGTTCTCTTGATTGCAGATCTAGTGGCAAAGAAGGATGCAGAAAGTCACCAAATACATGGTCATTGCAAACACGAGTATTAGGGGAACACCGTAGAAAATGGAAAAATATCAAGTTTTTCCTGGCACGCTGGGGAATAGTGCATAGCCCAGTGCCCTCTTTTCCACATATGACACATCTTTTATGTGAATTACACCATAAAATAATTTCTCAACAGAGATTATTGGTAGTTGGTTGGATGACATGAAATCAGAGATCATCTGCTCATATCAAAAGGTTCATACAATTCAGACTGCAATGGCCTTTGCTTGAGGTACCGCTTATAGCACTTTCCACATAATATGCTTTCATCTGTTATGCTAATGATCTCAGCAGTCAGCAGCTGGTGCAGCCAATTATACTGGGATGAATATACGTCTTACTTGAACTCGGGCTCCTTGAGATAAATATTTCAACCTGGTTTTGCAACCACGACCTATGCACACGTCTGACAGGATTATTAGTAAACTTGATGGGAGATTTGCAGTAATTTGAATTTAATACAGAATGTCTGACATACGTGTAACTTTGTCTGAGTAATTGTCTATAGATACTTAGCAAAATGGTATGAATACTTTATAGTAATACCTTTATGTGTTTAAGGATATGAACATACTTGCACATTCAGGTGGCAGACAAGGTTATCATTTCTGGCCTCATTTATTAATTAGAATATCTAACTAATTTATATCCATTATTGTTATGTTTAATGATAAACGAAGAAAATTGATCATTCATAATTCTCATGTGGCAAGTATTTGTCATTATGTTAGGCTACCTTTGTCACTCAACATGGTGTTTATACAAGGAGGTCCAGTCTGACTATAAGTAGTTATAAAGACAAATCATTTATGCGGTTGTAGGTTATTTTCATGTATCTACATATGGCGAAAAAATAAGAGATATCTATGTGGGGGCCAAATGTTGACCCCAACTTTCAATTTAAAAAGCGATATTTATATCCATCACAATGCCTTAAAATCATTATCATCATCAACGGAGCCACTTTAAGTAAATAACATCAAAATACAGCCAGTTCCAGTAAGAAGACTATTGGGAACAATTCAAATATCACTTTAAAGACAATGAAATTGTTTTCTGTAATTCAGCAAAACGTTTCTGAAAAATTAGAACGTAACCGGCTAACATAATGTCAAATACCGCCAAATTATAAAGATATTCTTTCTTGAATAAACTCATTCTGTACCGTTGTACTTGTTGCAGCCTCAAATAAAAAGACCATGTTTTTCTTACGTTAAATAATCAATTACCGAGTGAAACACTGTGGATGATCTTAATGTTAAATAAAATATCAGGTATCATACACATGTTTTCACTAAGCTGGAAATGTCGGTTCGACATGAACGCATGTCCCCGCACCCCTGTCGCATACTTACAAGTTCAGCAGAAAAGACGACACAGGTTGTTTCCCATCTCAAAATATTTTATTGTCATGATTTGACTGACAATACGAATAGGGCAACAAGCATAACCTATGAAAGCCCTCTCCTTGCTATTATAAACAAACACATCAGTCAGATAATAAATGAAAAAGAGAAAAGGTTTTGTAAATGAAATAGAAATATCTGAGATATGTTAACAGACACATAAAATCCCTACCTGTTGTGGTGCTAATAATTAGTCCGAAAATCTACCTGAATGGAAAAAAACATATAGCCAAAAATGTAATCTGACATCTTTTTTCATTCACAAAAGGTGTGAAACAAACAAAATTGGTAACATAATGTTTTCTAAGAAAATATTAATAGTTATATACCAGTTCTTGCCTGAGGAATATCATAAAGTCTTTCACAACGAGGAGGATATTGATCATTATTATTATTGACATAAGGTTGACCTGAATCATAAACGTTGGCAAGGAATATGTTGTTATTTTTTAATGAAAGAATTCGATGCATCTTACAACGTTTTACAAGCGGAAGTAAACCTGATTATCTCTATAGAATATAACGACTTGTATCTCGTCTCAAGCTTGTAATCATTCGCATTGTCTCAAGTTGTATCATTTAAGATGCTACTCTCCCTTTCTGTACAATAGTGAATTGAATTGGATAAATTAATGTAATATACATTAATTCAAGCGAATGTCTGTCATGTTTCAATAGATTTTTATCATCATTTTTCAATTTACATAATTAGATCAGTTACTATGACAGCTGAAAAATAGACCAAGGTGATGACGCCTACGTAGATAAGTATAACAAATTTCTTGAAATATAAATGTGGATGTAAAATCAATTTCATAAAGTCCATTCGTCTAAAAAAAAGATGGAATTCAGCATAATTAGATTTTTTTCACCAAACGGAATATTTTCTTATATCATCATCTAGAGACTTAGCGACTTCTTGTCTGTTTTCCTCAGTCAGACTATACAGTGACGTATCGTCAGCAAATAATTTCACATAAGAGACTGGTTCATTACCAATATAATTAATTGACCTGGAACTGATCCGTGGTGTCACCCTCAAAGTAAAGTTTTCTAGTTAGATTTAAATTCATCTATGACCACCTACTGCCTCCTTAGTAAGTAAGATGAAATCCACTTCAACGTGGTAAATATTCAGCATTCTTTGCAGTTAAAGATATGGAATTAATCACTTCAAAAAATCAGCTTTATCAATGGAATTTATTTTAAGATCACTATATATTGCCAAAGGAGATTTAGTTTCACATCTACTCGGAAGATTCATAAATGATCATGCAACTCTCCGCCATTTTTTTAGAATTAG